CTCCTCACACAATCCAGCCTGGTTAAACCCAGGATGGATCGTAGGCAGGCCAGCCTAAATGTTTCTAACCGGCGAAGATGCTCCACAGACACACACACACACGCACAAAGACAAAGATCCCCTGTATAGCCTTAACAGACTGTAGGGGCAAGTGCTGTTAGCGAGCACCTATGAAGGCCGGAACGGTACACGAGGGGTGGGTGGCCAGCACCACACCCGACCACCTTTGTCACACACGCACACAAACACGCACACAGACACGCACACAGACACACACACAGACACACACAGACACGCACACACATACACAGACACACACACAGACACACACAGACACGCACACACATACATACACAGACACGCACACACGCACACACAGACACACACGTGCGGCGCGTGACACCCGCGCGTGTGCACGGCTCTCTCTCTCGGGTGTTCACATCGGTGGCGTGGGGGGCGGGGGATGGAGGGTGGGTAAGTGGGGGCACCCTGCCCCCCACCCCACACCCATCAATTAAAATCAAATCTCCACATCGTTTGGGTTTAATTAGCGCTGTTTACAGGAAACGTCTTAGTGGATGTGGAAGGATTGAGAGGAGGGGAGGGGGGTCTGGGGGTGCCAGGGATGTCTGTGTCTCCATCCGCAGCCACCCCCACCCCATCCGGGTGGTGCAGCTGCAGTCCCCCCCCTTATCCCACCCCTCCCCCGCCCCTCCCCCGCGCCACATGAAAGCGCGGCTGCCGCTTAATTGCTCACTTTGAAGTTTTTGTGTACGCGGAGGGGCGGGGCTGTGGGCCCGAGGGGAGGGGCCTCATGTGTGTCAGGGCGGGGGGGCGGATACCCCCGAACCCCCCCCCCCCCCCTACGACTGCCGCGTGTTCAGTGCGGGACCCGGCAACTTTAGAGGGCACCGCGCAGCGCGGTGGGAGCGGTGGCGCTGCGGTTAGCGCACTGCGCTGTCAACTCTGAGCGGAGTTCGACTCCAGGCGACAATGGCCGTTCTCGTCCGGCGTGGGATGAAAAGAGCCGGAGGACCCGGAGAAGAATCCACGCGACCGCAGGGAGAAAGATGCCAACTCCAAATGTGCAACAGCCGTCAAGGGTTCAACGGTTTGGGAGTGGAGACGGCCCCATGGGTGTGCCCGCGTTGAACCAAATGCGGACCAAAAGATTCGCACCTCGCAGACCGGGCCGCGTAGCTGATGGGATGCGTACAGAACAACAACAACAAACAACAACCAGCATTGTTTTGTTTTACGCGAAGAGACAGAAACCCATGGAGCGATTTTGTCCTTCGCTAATGGGCGATGTGGAACCTTCCGATTCGCGGTTCCTGTTGATTGTTGGTCAGATGACAGAAGCCCCCCCCCCCCCCCCCCCCCGGGTGACACTCGTGCCTCACAGCGAGAAGGAATCCTGGGTTCGACTCCCCGACTCGGACACCCTTGCCTCTCCGCGCGTGGAGTTTGTACGCTCACTCCCCCTGTTTTGCATCGGGGGCTTTCCGCGTTGTCGGAATTCCTCCCATAGCCGGCGAAATGAAAAAAGCACGCAGTGTAACTGGTATTGGCCAAAGCATCGCAATGCTCAAACGTATCTGCAAATTCATTTGGATTGTTCACGACACCAACACCAGCCCCTTACTGTGGACATTTGGCAGGGCTCTCCTTAAAAAAAAAGTTTTGAGACTCTGTGTGACTTTCCTAGGTGAACACGTGGGACAATAATAATACTTTTAATGAACTGGAGTGTGTTACCCATATTTGTTACTTATCGGTCATAATCTGATCAATACATGGGCCCCGCATCAATAACGACGTCTGTGTAAAGGTGACAATCTCGTCGGGTGGTGGCAAGAATTTTGGCATGAAACTACCACCACGTGGCAGGAACCCACGCAAAAAGTGTAACTCAACACGGAGACGTGGAGAAGAGACACATCAGCAATGTCTCCTTCTCATCTCCCGTCTCTCCGCTTCAAAAACATGTTCAGTTTCTGACCCATCCCATCAGGCAGCCGCACGGAATCCCTTCACCGCGAGTTGGAGGTGGGGGGGTGGGGTGCTTGGGCAGGACACGTACAGTACGTATGTTGAACTTCTTTCGCACCGTACGTAGCCAACCGCGCTAATCGGAGGTGCGTGGGAAAGGACAACAGACTAAACACGAAAAGCAGCTCTAAAGAAATGCCCTTTCAATCTCGATTGAAAAGCGCATCGCTCCGCATCGGAAGGAAAAGCGTTCCAGACGGCCGTAGGAGCGCATCTGAAAGCGCTCGATACGGTGACCTCCCTTAATCCGATGGCTGTAGCCCACGACGACGACGGGCCGAGTTGGCGTCATGGTTCACGCACCACGACGAGACCAGCGAGGTGTTTGCGGTTCACTTGCCTGCGGGCAACGCGTGCGGTGCGCTCACGAGCGCGACCCGGCGACGCATTAGTCGTCGTTTATGGGCACTCGCTCGCTCGGGCGCACCGCACGCGCGCGTGACGTGTGGATCATTCACTCGCATGTGCCGCTAAGTGTCGTTGTTGTTGTTGTCGTTATTGTTGTTGTTGTCGTCGTTGGGTGCATTGAGAGCCGTGGCGAGTTGTCGACGCGCTGCAGCTGCGGCATCTGCCGGGTCCGCTTCTCCTCGCGTGCAGGAGCAGCAGGAGGAGGAACCTCGACCCGGAGCGCACGCGCCCCATTAGCGGCGATCAGAGGGACAATTAAAGAGCCCCCCCCCCGCGCGCCTCCCCCCTTTTACCCCCACAGTTAATTGGTCGCCAGCCCTCCCCGCTAATAGCGTGCCCCCACCCCCTCCTCCATAGCAACCACCGCACGTGGGGATGGGGAAGAGGAGGGAGAGGGAGGGGCGGGTGGAATGGGGGAAGGGTGGGGGGGTGCAGATTGTGAAGGAGGGAGGGGGGGAATGAGTTCCCTGTGCCCATCTCCAGGTGTCTCCCCCGCCCCCCCCCGTGGGGAGGGCAGTGGGTAGGGGGTTGTTACCTGTCTCACCGGATGTGTGGGGAGGGGTTCTGTGTGTATGTGGGTAGTGAGGGGGGGGGCAGCCCCCCCCCGCTCGCCTGGTATCGTTTATCAGAGTCCACAGGTGCGCGCGGTCGCTGTTTGAAGTGGCCGCTCATTAGGGGTTCGATCGCTTTAAACACTGGCAGGTGACGGCGATGGTGATGGTGATGGTGATGTTGTCAGCAACATCAACACGACGACCGGCATCGGTGTCACGACCATCAACCACCACCAAGAAGCATCATAAGAATCACTAAAAATCATCAGCAGCAGCAGCATCAACATTCACCATCAGCAACAAGAACATCAACAACGCATTCAGCGTCATCAACAGCATCATCAACAAACGCACCATCTCCTTCATCAGCAGCATCACCGCCATCGCCCACCCGCCTACGCCTCCACCCGGGGAGTTCCCCCCCCCCATTCCACATTCCCACCGCTCCCCTCCCCTCCCCTGACTCTCGCCCCCTTCAAAAACTCTCTCTCTCCTCCTCCTCTCTCTCCTCCTCCTCCTTCCAGCACCACTCGGACGCGGGGCGAGACTCGACAAAGTCTGTTTCGTATGCAGTGGCGACATCCTTCCTCACCCATAGACACCCTGCATCATCCATAGACACCCTGCATCGTGTATGGGCACCCTGCCTCATCCATAGACACCCCTGCCTCATCCATAGACATCCTTCTTCACCCATGGACACCCTGCTTCATTCATAATCACCCTGTTTCATTCATAATCACCCTGCATCGTGTATGGGCACCCTGCCTCATCCATAGACACCCTGCATCATCCATAGACAACCCTGCCTCATCCATAGACACCCTGCCTCATCCATAGACACCCTGCATCATCCATAGACACCCTGCCTCATCCATAGACACCCTGCATCATCCATAGACACCCTGCCTCATCCATAGACCCCCTGCCTCATCCATAGACACCCCTGCCTCATCCATAGACACCCTGCCTCATCCATAGACACCCTGCATCATCCATAGACACGCGGACTAGCTCGACTCTTCTCACTGAGACGTCGACTCTACCATAGAGACCTCAATTCGTGAGTACCCGCGTGAATCGTGCCCACATTGTGCTGATGTGTGGTGGTGGTGGTGATGGTGGTGGTGATGGTGGTGCTGATGGTGTTTTGGTGGTGATGGTGGTATAAGGTAAAACTAACGGTGTGATTCGTGCCAACATTGTGCTGATGTGTGGTGGTGGTGATGGTGGTGCTGATGGTGTTTTGGTGGTGATGATGGTATAAGGTAATACTAACGGTGCGATTCGTGCCAACATTGTGCTGATGTGTGGTGGTACTGGTGGTGCTGATGGTGTTTTGGTGGTGATGATGGTATAAGGTAATACGGTGCGATTCGTGCCAACATTGTGCTGATGTGTGGTGGTACTGGTGGTGCTGATGGTGTTTTGGTGGTGATGATGGTATAAGGTAATACTAACGGTATGATTCGTGTCCACATTGTGCTGATGTGTGGTGGTGGTGCTGATGGTGTTTTGGTGGTGATGATGGTATAAGGTAATACTAACGGTCATGAATGTGCTGTTGACGCCGATGGAAATGATGATGATTGTGCTGCTGTTGTTAACGGTGATGATTATTGCGCTAATGATGATGATGTTGTTGTTGATACTGATGGTGGTGCTGTTGCTGATGATGATACTGATGACGATGGTTGGTTGTGCTGTTGCTGTTTATGTTGTTGATGGTGATGCTAGTGGTTGTGCTATTGCTGATGATGTTGTCGACACTGATGGCGATGAAGATGGTTGTTGTTAATGCTGCTGCTGATGTCTGTCGTCCACCGCCTGCTGCAGCTCTTGGGAGCAGCAGCGGCAGCAAAAGCAGCATCATCATCATCATCATCAGCAGCAGCAGCATCATCATCAGCAGCAGCATCATCATCATCAGCAGCAGCATCATCATCAGCAGCAGCATCATCATCATCATCAGCAGCAGCAGCAGCAGCATCATCATCATCATCATCAGCAGCAGCAGCAGCAGCAGCAGCATCATCATCATCAGCAGCAGCAGCAGCAGCATCATCAGCATCATCAACAGCAGCAGCAGCATCATCATCAGCATCATCATCAGCAGCAGGAGGCCCCGGCAATGTCTCCCCCGCGCGTCTGGCCACTGCTCGTGGCCCTCGCGATTCTCCCCGCGCCACTCCCCGGGTCCCCCGCGGCTCCCTCGGGCCCCGCGTCCCCGTGGCCTCATCCTCGCCGCACCTCCTGGCGGGGAGGGCCCAACGTGGCCGCGCGGCGCCACCGAGACCAGAGGCCCCCACGCGGCCACGGGCAGCACGGGCCAAGCGGCGGGGAGGACATGCAGGCCCTAAACCGCGCCGGGGGGCCCGGTGGCGCCGTGGGGACTGGGGGGGCCGGGGGTGTAAGGATGGACCCTTGGAATCATCATCATCATCAGCAGCAACATCAGCAGCAGCAGCAGCATCATCAGCAAAGACCTCCGAAGCTGCCCGGTGGAATGGCCCAACATTCTCGACAAGCGGCATCTGCCGCGAAGGTGGCATCGGCTGGCGCGGCTGCACCGGTCATGAAGAGCCCCCCGGCAGGCAAAGCCGCGGATCGCGAGCCGAGGGAGCCGGCGGCGGAGTGGCTGAGCGCGCAGCTGGGCAGCCTGGCGCGCTCCCTGCACGCGTGCGGCGGCGGCGGTGGCGGCGGCGGTGGTGGCAGCGGCAGCGGCGGCGCGGCGGAGCGCGGGGCGGAAGCGATGCGGCTGCGATTCCTCGGCAGCGGCAGAGAAGCCACTTGTAACGACGGCAGCCCCGCCGGGTGCGTGCGCGGCAATCCCCCCCGCCCCCTCCACCACCCCCCCACCATCCCCCCCGCCCCCCACTATCCCCCCGCCCCCCCCCCACTATCCCCCCGCCCCCCCCCCCACTATGCTGGCCCCTGACCAGCATGCCCGTTGATGGGCCCCAATAGTTCCTGATGGTCTCCGACATACCCCGGCCGGTCGCTGACAGTCCCCAACATTCCCTGGTGGTGGTGGTGGGGGGGGGGGTGTGTTCTGAATACGATCCCCTAATTCCTTAACCCTAAAATCCAGAACAAAGTCCCTGGAGACCCCCGCAACGACAGCTTGTTTAACCGCTGATCCCTGCCCCCCCCCATCCTGCAAACAGGTATTATATCCGCAAGTCGGAGGGCAGCAAGCGGTGGCTGATATTCCTTGAAGGTGAGGAGGCCGCCGGTCCCATCGCACGCTCGACCTTGACCCCGTGACCTCAACCCTGATCTTTCCTCCTGTAGTGGGTCTCTGGGTCACCGTGGGTTGTACGTTTGCCTCGATGTCAGTAAATGGGGGGGGGGGGGGCGGGGGGTCTCTGTGCGAGACTCTGCGTCTATTTGTTTGCAGGCCCGGCACTGCATGCGCACGTGTTGTGCTGCAAAGGGCCAGCTGCCACTGGGGGTGGGAGGTGGGGGGGGGGGGGGGGTTACCCGCGGGATGAGATGTAAGGCGCTTTGAGTTGCTGAGGAATTTAAGTCTCTTCCCCCTAATGGGTTTATCCGCCCGCGTGGCTCGGCGGAGGAGCGGCAATCGGAAAGGTCGCGAGGTCAAAAACCCTATTCTTAGGTTTTTTTCGGTAAAGTCACGTAGGTAAAATATAAATAATACAAGATAAATTTAAAAAATAAGAATAAATAAATAATAGAAATAAAATCATCAATCACGACGTTACTTGATACAGCAGTCGTGCTGTGACGGTTCCACCTGAAGACGGAAGCTTGTGTTGCCTCCGAAACGTCGTGATTTAAATTTTATTTTAATTTTACTTTTTTAATTTTAATTTTTTACCTACGTGACTTTACCGGAAAAAACCTAAGAATATGAATCCTTGCAGTCACGAAAGCTTCAAATCTAGAGTCAAAATCCCTGTTTGGGAGGGAGGGGGTTGACTCGGCCCATCATCGTCACTCCGAGTTCGGTAAAACGAGTACCATTCTGCGTCAGTCCAAGGATCATCACGTGAACTCCGGTAATTCTCGCAGCAGCAGCGGCGGCTTTTTGGCGAGTGGTCGAACAAAGGCGGTCACCGCATTGCGGCGCGTTTTAACAGATGGCCGTCTGGAACGCTCTTCCTTCCGCTATTAGAAAGCCACTGGAGCTATGCACTTTTAAATCATCATCTAGATTGACAAACTAATTTCTTGAGAACTGTTTTTTTGTGTTTAGTTTGTTGTCCTTCCCCCGCACCTCCAGTTAGCGCGGTTGGCTACGTACGGTGCGAAAGAAGTTCACACACATACTAAGTATGTAACGACTCGCACACCGCCATAGGAATGTGGAATTTCCGCTGCTGGCTCAGGGCTGTAAACAGGAGACAAGCAACCGATGCCTCGCTGCTCGTTTGGTATGACGCTGCCCCCTCTCTCCCCCCCCCTCTTCCCCCTTCTCCACCCCTCTCCCCCCCCTCTCGTCCCCCCCTCTCCCCCCCCCTTCTCCCCCCTTTCTCCCCCCCTCTCCCCCCATTCTCCTTCCTCTCCCCCCTTCTTCCCCCCTCTCCCCCCCCCCTCCTCCCCCCATTCTCCCCTCCCTTCTCCCCCCCTCTCCCCCCCCCCTCTCCCCCCCCCCTCCTTCCCCCCTTCTCCCCCCCTCTCCCCCCCCTCTCCCCCAGTCTCATCCCCTCTCCCCTCTCCCCCCCTCTCCCCCCCCTCTCCCCCCCCCCCTCTCCTCCCCCCTTCTCCCCCCCTCTCCCCCCCCCTCTCCCCCCCCTCTCCCCCCCCTCTCCCCCCCTTCTCCCCCCCTCTCCCCCCCCCTCTCCCCCATTCTCCCCTCCCCTTCTCCCCCCCTCTCCCCCCCCTCTCCCCCCCCCTCTCCTCCCCCCCTTCTCCCCCCCTCTCTCCCCCGCCCCCACAGGAGGCTGGTATTGCCACAGCAGGGAAAGCTGCGATGCGCGATTCGCGTCCCTCCATCATCTCATGAGCTCGGCCGACTGGCCCCACACGCGCACAGGTGAGTAAGGAGGAGGAGGAGGAGTGGGTGCCACGTGACCACCCTCTTCGCCCTCATCTCCCCCCCACGCCACCAACCCCCACGTGGAGTGTGACGGTTCACCAGCAGTGATTGTTGCGGCGACGCCTGCCGCTGCTGTCGAGACGCCGTGAGTCGAGACGCCGTGAGCCGAGACGTCTTCCGCAGCGTTGCGCGTGTCGAAGCAACAATGATGCGCGCTGCTGCGACGGTGGACAACTCCCACGAGGTCGTGTGGCTGATGGGATGTGCTACAAAAAATGTTTTATGTCGAGGGACAGATGTGGAAAAGAACTCCACAAACTAAACTTTAAAAAACGAAACTTTTTATTTTAACTAACCTTTTTTAAATCTAAAGCTTTCGTGACTGCAGGGATTCATATTCTTCTTGGTTCTTTCGGTAAAGTCACGTAGAAGGGAAATATAATATAATAAAATCATGTTTTATTTGTATTATTTATTATTTCCCTTCTACGTGACTTTACCGAAAGAACCAAGAAGATACACTTTTTTAGTCTAACTAAAAACTAAACTTAAAACAATTGTTATTTTACCAGATAAGGCCCCACGGAGCGAAATCGCTCTTTTCCCGAAGCGATGATAGCTCAACGAAGTGGTTTATCATCATCGTGTGGAAGTGTACAGCAGCTACGCACTCGAAACCTCCCCCACCACCACAGCCGCTACAGCACGTGCACAGACCCTGCTCCTCTGTTGCTATTGGCGTTGATTTTGTTGTTGACGCTCTTGTTGTTGTTGATGCAATCGTCGCTATTGTTGTTATTGTTGTTGACGCTATTGTTGGTAACACTATCGTCGCTGTTGTTGTTATTGTTGGTGACGCTATTGTTGTTGAGGTGAGGCGGTGCAGGGCTGGGTTGCATAGTTCAACCCCTCCTTAATCCGAATCAAAACAACTTTGAAGAGACTTTCAGGGGCACGCTGACATCGCTGTGATGTGACGTCTGTTTTGTCTCTCTCCCCCCGTGGTTCCCCTCCCCCCCGTGGTTCCCCTTTCCCCCGTGGTTCCCCTCTCCCCCCGTGGTTCCCCTCCCCCCCCGTGGTTCCCCTCCCCCCGTGGTTCCCTCTCCCCCCGTGGTTCCCCTCTCCCCCCGTGGTTCCCCTCTCCCCCCGTGGTTCCCCTCTCCCCCCGTGGTTCCCCTCTCCCCCGTGGTTCCCCTCTCCCCCCGTGTTCCCCTCCCCCCCCCGTGGTTCCCCCTCCCCCGTGGTTCCCCCTCCCCCGTGGTTCCCCTCCCCCCCGTGGTTCCCCTCCCCCCCCGTGGTTCCCCTCTCCCCCCGTGGTTCCCCTCCCCCGTGGTTCCCCTCCCCCCCCCGTGGTTCCCCTCTCCCCCCGTGGTTCCCCTCTCCCCCCGTGGTTCCCCTCCCCCCCGTGGTTCCCCTCCCCCCGTGGTTCCCCTCTCCCCCCGTGGTTCCCCTCTCCCCCGTGGTTCCCCTCTCCCCCGTGGTTCCCCTCTCCCCCCGTGGTTCCCCTCCCCCCGTGGTTCCCCTCTCCCCCGTGGTTCCCCTCTCCCCCCGTGGTTCCCCTTCCCCCCGTGGTTCCCCTCTCCCCCCATGGTTCCCCTCCCCCCCCGTGGTTCCCCTCTCCCCCGTGGTTCCCCTCCTCTCCCCCCCCCCGTGGTTCCCCTCTCCCCCGTGGTTCCCCTTCCCCCCGTGGTTCCCCTCTCCCCCCGTGGTTCCCCTCCCCCCCGTGGTTCCCCTCCTCTCCCCCGTGGTTCCCCTCTCCCCCCGTGGTTCCCCTCTCCCCCCCGTGGTTCCCCTCTCCCCCCGTGGTTCCCCTCCCCCCCGTGGTTCCCCTCCCCCCGTGGTTCCCCTCTCCCCCCGTGGTTCCCCTCTCCCCCGTGGTTCCCCTCTCCCCCCATGGTTCCCCTCCCCCCCCGTGGTTCCCCTCTCCCCCCGTGGTTCCCCTCCTCTCCCCCCCCCCCCGTGGTTCCCCTCTCCCCCCGTGGTTCCCCTCTCCCCCCGTGGTTCCCCTCTGCCCCCGTGGTTCCCCTCTCCCCCCGTGGTTCCCCTCTCCCCCCGTGGTTCCCCTCTCCCCCCGTGGTTCCCCTCCCCCCGTGGTTCCCCTCCTCTCCCCCGTGGTTCCCCTCTCCCCCCGTGGTTCCCCTCTCCCCCCCGTGGTTCCCCTCCTCTCCCCCCCCCCGTGGTTCCCCTCTCCCCCCGTGGTTCCCCTCTCCCCCCGTGGTTCCCCCCTCCCCCCGTGGTTCCCCTCCTCTCCCCCGTGGGTCCGGCTGCAGGGGACGGCATCCTGTCTCCGCGCCCCGAGGGGAACCCGCACTGGTGGAACGCAAACACCGTGTAAGTGGCGAGGGGGTTTGGGCGGCTGAGTCTCAAGACTCGCTTTCAGGAGGGCCCTACCAAATTTTTTTTTTTTACAGAAGAGGGGCGATGCTGCTGCTGCTGCTGCTGTGTGTGGTCCCAAATGATAAATTAGCACCGGTCCTGGGCCTTCCCTAGGTCGGCTCAGCCTCAAGTGAGCACCTGGCGTGGTGTGTAAATGCCAGCAATGGGGAGACAAAGTCGGCCGGGCGAGGCGCTGTCCAACCACCCCCTCGTGTGCCGTGCCGGAACCTTCGTTGGTGCCCGCTCTCGGTACTTGCTCCATCGGTCTGTTAAAAGTCGACACGGGAGGGGGGGGGGGGGTATATAAATGTGTCGTCAAACCTGCCACCACTCAGCCGATTAGTAAGGGTTGTCACGTGAACAGAACATGCTAATTCGTCACTAGTACAGCAAACCGGTGTGTTGGAGAGCCAAGCCACAACATTTACAATCTGAGTACGACGTTTTGCCAGTAATTACAATCAGCATCATCAGGCGATGGCCAGATTCTCTCCAACGCACCGGTGTGCTGTACTAGTAACGAATTGGCATGCTCTGTTTATGCAACAAACCTTACTAATCGGCCGTGTCGGGTGGTGGCGGCTTTAACGACACATTTATATATTTACGCGATCTAACCCAAAACACTCCTGTATTATCGATAATATTGGTCGCGAAAGCCTGGTACATGTTCAACGGAATTTTTGTAATTTGCCAAATTTGGATGATGCTGGCAAGCAACGCTATATTCTTCTCGGTGACGCGAGGGGATTCTTGACATCCACTCTGAAGCACGAGGCGCATATTTTACGGTGAATACACCCACGGCATTAATCAGGACAGCCCACCAGATTGTAAGTGGACCTCGACAACAAGCGGTGAACGCACTGCCTCTGGACCACATCACTGCCCAGCCAGAAAGTCTCCGTGTCAAACGGGCGGGGGGGGGTGTATCTTTATCTTTGTGTGTGTGCAGCAGCAGCGTAGCGGTTAGCGCTACGCTGCGCTACGAGCCTGGCGAGCCGGGTTCGATTCCCGCTGGGCCTCCGCTAGGTCGACTCAGCTTCAAATGAGTCCCTGGTGCGATGTGAGCATCGCCACTGGGGAGACAAAGACGGCCGGGCGTGGTGTTGGCCACCCACCCCCTCGTGTGCCGTGCCGGCCTTCATAGGTTTGCTCGCTAAGAGCACTTGCCCCAACGGTGTGTTAAGGCTACACGGGGTATCTTTGTCTTTGTCTGCTGCAGCTTCGTGCCGTACTGCTCGAGCGACGTGTGGAGCGGGAACGCGCCGCGCTCCAGTCGAGGTGAGTTCCCCGCCGCAGCGACGGCCTTCACCGAGTCTCGAGGCCTCCGTGATCTGGAGGGGTTCGTGCCGCTCTCGACCCCCCGCCCGTGACCCCCCCCCCCCCCCCCGACGCTCGCGTGGGTCACCCGGCTGGAACTCAAAATCGCCTTCGGCTCCGTGCGCGCCGGGTGGATTGAGTAGCCGATTTGAGTGGGTCACTCGGAGGCCAATCGATTCGTGGATATGGATTGCGTGACTTGTTGGTTGAGTGATTGGTTAATGAATTCAATGAGTGGATCGGTTTATTCATTCATCGGTTGCTCGGTGGGTCGAGCCTTTTTGTTGAATGGTTGATCGGTCGCTTGTGTTCGTTGGATGATTCGGGCGACTGGGTGCTTTATTGATCCTCTGATTTTGAGCAGTGGGTTCATTGGTTCAAGTGGCCGATCATTTGTCCAAACAGCTGATGTGATTATTGGAATGGGCTGGTTGAGCGACTGCTGCATTGGTTAATGAAATAAAATTCATTTTCAAAAATTCCCTTTTGGGCGTGTGTCCATCTCCCGTGCCCCCCCCCCCGTGCCGACCCTCCCCCCTCGCCCCCAGGTGGGTACGCGTTCCTAGGGGCGCGGATCCTGCGGGAGGTGGTGGTGGAGCTGGTGAGGCACGGGATGGGTCACGCGCGCACCATCATGCTGGCGGGCAGCAGGTGAGTGAGTGGTGGTTGCTGGTGGTGGGGAGCTGCCGTGCTCCAAACCCAGCGAGCCGAGTTCCGATTCCCGCTCGCGGCCAACGCCGGTGACGATTGTCTTAATTTGTCCTGGACCCATCCCCTAGGTCGACTCGGCCTCAAACATCGTCACTCGGGGGGGCAAAGGCGGCTGGGCTTGGTGTTGGTCCAGCCACCCCCTCATGTGCCGTGCGGCCCTCAACGGACACTTGCCCGAACAGTCTGTTAAGGCTATACGGGGGATATTTGTCTTTGGTAGCGCGTGGTGTTGGTGGTGGTGGCACGGGTTGGACATTATAACGATAAAACAAATTCAATACGTCAACAGCGGTGTGATGATGATGATGACGACGACAAACATCTTCAACCGTGACATTCCCATTGCTGGATGGCGCCACAGCCCCACCGAGCAGCCCACCGCTCCGTCTCCGCGGCTGCCACTCCGTGCTTAGTCTCCCCTGCCCCCCGCCGCCACACTACGTACATTCACGGCCCCTCCGCCCGCTCGCTCGTCTCAATGCGCTCCACGGCGTTGCTTTGTCTCGAGTCCGTTCTGCTGCGACGACGCTCTCCATCGACGCCGCGCTGCTGATGGGACGTGTCAGAACGACTTTGCACCAGTGCCGGATTATCCTAGGAGTAAAAGTAGATGTATATGCAGTAGCTGCATATGTAGTAGCTACTACATATGTAGTAGCTACAACATAGTAGCTGCATGTAGTAGCTACTACATAGTAGCTGCATATGTAGTAGCTACTACATATGTAGTAGCTACGGGCCCCGCACTTTCAAGGGCCCCGTGCTAAATGCTTTCAAGCTATCAATTCCGGTTCAGTGATTCTGCACTTGCTATAATACTATAGTACTATACCGCCTTCCACTTTTACGAACGACATGGTATTTAAGGCTAGCGATTCTTCGTATTATTTCACTGTATAGCAGATGAAAAAATAAAATTACTTTACAATGCGAGTTAAAATTTTGTGTTTCAATATTTACGTTTTTTTTGGGGGGCTTAGGGCCCCTTCATAACATATGCTACAGACCCCGCGCTAGCTTCATCCGGCACGGCTTTGCACGTGCGTTTTTTCCCTTCTCTCGCGTGGGGACACGGAGACGCGAGCGAGCCGCTGCGTCTGCTCGCGCGCATGCCTGGCGACACCTCCAATCCGCGTGCTCCTCTACCCCGTCTCTTGCTGCCGTCTCCAGCGAGCTCCGCTCCATCCTTGGGGGCTAGGGGGGGGGGTGCTTTCGTTGCATCTTCTCCCGTCAACGCGGCCCTCAAGTTTGTTGTGACTCTGTCAGCGGCGCTTTGAAATCCATCTGGAAAGCCCGACCCGGTTTACCCATTGGCTGGACGTCAGCTGTGCCACGATTGTGATTTAGTACGCGTGGCTTTGATCACGGTTGGGACTTTCATGCTGCCTCCATCCATCGCGAGTGTAGTTCTCATCATTGCTGCTGCTGTTGTTGTTGTCGGGTTTTTATTGCGTGGATTGTCTCTCCTAAGCGTCTCGTTATTCACGTGCAGCGCATTAAAACGTTGTGTTATGAGGCGTAGTATATGATAGCAATGGTGATGATGATGATGGTAATGATGAAGGTGATGATGAAGGTGGTGATGATGATAATGATGAGTGTATTATGGTGGTGATGATGATGATGAGTGTATTATGGTTGATGATGATGATGGTAATGAAGAAGGTGATGGCGATGATGGTAATGATGAAGGTGATGATGATGACGATGAGTGTATTATGGTGGTGGTGATGATGATGAGTGTATTATGGTGGTGGTGATGATGATGAGTGTATTATGGTGGTGGTGATGATGATGAGTGTATTATGGTGATGATGATGATGAGTGTATTATGGTGGTGGTGATGATGATGAGTGTATTATGGTGGTGGTGATGATGATGAGTGTATTATGGTGGTGGTGATGATGATGAGTGTATTATGGTGGTGGTGATGATGATGAGTGTATTATGGTGGTGGTGATGATGATGAGTGTATCATTATGGTGATGATGATGATGATGAATGTATTATGGTGGTTATGATGATGAGTGTATTATAGTGATGATGATGATGATGAGTGTATTATGGTGATGATGATGATGATGAGTATATTATGGTGGATGATGATGGCAGTGTCCTGCACGCAGGGCGCCCTTCTTAGCGCCGTCCGCGGCCGTTTCCGATGCTCCGTCGAGTTTTCAAGATCCGCCCCAGCGCTGTCTCGTCCGCAACATTAACTCCAGACCACCTTCATCCGATGTTGTTACTGTTGTTGATGTGGTTGTTCGCCGTTCTTCATTGTTGTGACACCTGTGACGCTTGTGAAGAAGAGCCCATCGGATTCTATCCAGTGTAACTAAATATTCTGATTCTGTTTAAAAAAGAAAAATCTGAGTTGTTGTCGTTGTTGTTGTTGTCTTCACGTGTGGCTCAGCGCGGGGGGCACGGGAGTGCTGCTGCACCTGGACAGCATGGCCGCCCAGCTCCGTGCCCTAGGGGTCCCTGCCCAGCTGAGGGGGCTCGCCGACTCGGGATGGTTCGTGGAGCGCAGGGGGAGCGGAGCGGCCCCCGGCTGCGGAGGGGGGGTCCGGCCCGGGGCGGACTGCGGCCCGGGGGCCCCCGTTCACTCCATGCATCACGCCGTCCGGTGAGGGCGAGGTCACGGGGTCACGGGCATGTAACGTCACAGCAGCGCTCACGTGGTGACCTCACCTGCTCACTCCATGCATCACGCCGTCCGGTGAGGGCGAGGTCACGGGGTCACGGGCATGTGACGTCACAGCCGCGCTCACGTGGTGACCTCACCTGACGTTAATTCTAGATTTGAAGCTTTCGTGACTGCAAGGATTCATATTCTTAGGTTTTTTCGGTAAAGTCACGTCGGTAAAAAATTAAAATTAATAAAAGTCAAATAAAATAAAAATCACGACGTTTCGGAGGCAACACAAGCTTCCGTCTTCAGGTGGAACCGTCACAGCCACGACAGCTTTTGTTATGCAGTCTATTCTTAGTCTTAAGCCTCACCTTACCATATTAATAAAAAAGTGTGCCGTACTTGGCCCTTCCCCTCTTCAACCATTATATATACGGAGTGGTAGCTCTTGTAATCTCTCATTTACTTGATACAGCTGTCGTGGCTGTGACGGTTCCACCTGAAGACGGAAGCTTGTGTTGCCTCCGAAACGTCGTGATTTTTATTTAATTTTACTTTTATTAATTTAAAATTTTTACCTACGTGACTTTACCGAAAAAAACCAAGAATACTCACCTGACGTGCCCGTGCTCTCTGCCCGCCGTGCCCAGGTTCTGGAACGGATCGGTTCCGGAGCGGTGCCGCCTGCATCTCCCCCCGGGGGAGGAGTGGAAATGTTATTTTGGCTTCATCACCTTCCAGACGCTCGCCAGTGAGTGTGCTCACCTACACCCACTCCTACGCGCACCTGTACGCGCATCTATAAAAACGCCCGTACACACCTGTACGCACCTGTATGCACACCTGTATACACAACTGTACCAATACCCGCCATTCGCCACGAACTGATGGTGACATCACCATGGCGCCTGTGCCAGGCCAGGTGCACTTTGAGGCCACGTGAAGCGTCGAAGGCTCGCTGACTGACATGAGGTCACGGGACAGACCCAGCAGGTGCCATGGGTTGGCTGGCCGAGATGACTCGCAGATGCACCACCAGCTGTACCCCCCACTGTGCCAACTGTACAAAGACAAAGATCCCCCATATAGCCTTAACAGACTGTAGGGGCAAGTGCTGTTAGCGAGCACCAACTGTACGCACACCTCTACACGCACACCACTCGCCTACCAACCCCACACACCCACCCACCCAAACACCCAACCACTCAGCAACCCACTCACCTACCCAGTCACCCTCCACCCACTCCCCCTGCCCCCTCCCCTCCAGCCCCGGTGTTTGTGGCGCAATGGCTCTTCGACGAGGCCCAGCTGACCGCTGACAACGTGCAGCTGCTGGGCCCGACTCGGGGCGGCGACCAGCTGCCCTACCTGCGCGAGCTGGGACAGGAGCTGCGCGCCACCCTCCACCCGCTGCCGTGAGTGGCCGCACAAACAGCGCCGGCCACCGCCGGATGGTCCACCCGAGAAATGAGTCCACCGCTGAATAGTCGACCAGCGAATAGGTCACCACAGATTATTCCACCACTGAATAGTTCACTGGCAAATAGTCGACCACCGAATAGTCAACCACAGATTATTCCACCGCTGAGTAGTACACCACTGAATATTCCACCATTGAATATTCCACCACCGAATAGTCCACCAACAAATTATTCACCACCGAATAGTCCACCACTGAGTAGTCTACCACCGAAAAGTCCACCACTGAGTAGTCCACCCCTGAATATTCCACCACTGCGTAGTCCACCACCGAATAGAGGTCGTTCACCGACAGGTCGGGGAGCGTGGCCTCGCAGGGCGTGGTTATAGGGGTAGAGGGAGGGCCAGTGCTGGCTGATTTGGATGGACGCTCTGCTCTGAGGAAGGACCGTTTCCCGAAACGTTATAGAGGGGGGAGGGGGGGCACTGCTTCTGTCATCCGCGAAGGCGCAACGGAGTTGTTGAGGCGAGGGCTGCGAGTGGCACCGCTGCCCCCTGGCGGCCGGGCCGGGGAGCGAGGCCCCGGGCGGCAAGGATACACGCGAGGCACTGCAGAGACAGGCAGCGGCTCGCGCGTGAACATGCCTATGTCATGCGTCGTGTGCGGTGCCGGATTATCCTCGTAGCAAAGTAGCTACATATGTAGTAGCTACGGGCCACGCACTTTCAAGGTCCACCCGCGCAAAATGCTTTCAAGCTATCAATTTCGTATTCTTTGGGTCTTTCGGTGAAGTCACGTGGATAGATTTCGATTTCAAGCTTTCGTGACTGCAGGGATTCATCTTCTTGGTTCTTTCGGTAAAGTCACGTAGAAGGGAAAAAAATGTATTATGTTTAATATTTATTATTTTATTATTTCCCTTCTACGTGACTTTACCGAAAGAACCAAGAAAATCACGTGGATAGGTTCAAAGAAAATAACAAAAAACGACAACGTTTCGATCTCAACACAAGCGTTCGTCATCAGGAAAAGGTGACCGATTGAAACGTTGTAGAGGGAACCGGAGTGCCCAGAGAGAAGTCAGCGCCAGCGTGCTGTGTGCGAGGGAGAGACCCAGAACCCACTCCGCTGTGCTTCCATCCCACCCAGTGCCGGATGAAGCGAGTGCGGGCCCTGCAGCACATGTTATAAAGATGCCCTATATTACAAAAAACACGTAAATATTGAAACACAATTGTTTTACTTGCATAGTAAAGTAATTGTGTTTTTTAATTTGCTATACAGCCACAGAAAATACGACAAATCGCTAACCTGAAACACCCAGTCGTTCATAAAAGTTGAAGGCGGTATAGTACTGTAGTAATAGAGCAAGTGCAGAATCACTGAACCGGAATCGATAGCTTGAAAGCATTTAGCGCGGGGCCCTTGAAAGTGCGGGGCCCGTAGCATTTGTAACGTGCGTTCATTTGTTTAGCTGCCCGTTGATATTTGTCGTGTATCTCTGTGTGGCCGTGTATTTGTTTTAAACAGGGCAGTCTTCTCTCCCGCGTGCCTCGCTCACACGCTTATCACGAGCAGGTAAGACTCGTCTGCGATGCAGCAACATCATCATCATCACAATCCTCATCACCTTCGTCACAATCATCATCATCATCGCAATCATCATCACCATCATCACAATCATCATCATCACTATCATCATCATCACTAACACCATCATCTTCATTGGGTTCCTTTTTAGAAAAAGGTCAGAGGTCAGCGTGCTCAGCCGGCACCGCTGGGACCCTGGGTTCGTATACGGGTTTCAGCCGCTGCCCGTGATTAGAACCGGGTTCTCAAAGTGCATTGAGTTGGGTTGACGGTGTCGACCCGTGTATCAATGACTGCGCAAAACAAACCATCGCAATGCATTTAGTTTTTGGTTTAATTTTGGCTCAAAGTCAACACTAATAATTACAAATAACGGTTTGACTGTCAACGTAGTCGCTTTTATTCTCGGTGGCAGTGTGGGTGGCAAGTGCCACTCCCTCCTGCGTGGACCAGAGGTCACTCGTGGGGGCCTCGGAGCTAGCTCTGCGACATCCACTTCCGATCTCTAACGCGGAAAAGGGTCGCGTCGCTGTTGTGCGACATTTCCCAACGGGTTCTTCGTCTCGTGACGACGCGACGCCGATTGCACAATCACAGATAAAATTGTGGATGACAAATTCAAATCCTCACTGTTGGCGTGGTACAGCAGCTGCTGCTGCTGCTGTCAATGCTGCGCTGTAGATATTGCTCGCGGCTCGCAGCTGATGCTCATCGCCCGTCCCCGTCGCCTGGGCCACTCTCGCACTCTCTCTGTCTCTCTCTCTCTGTCTCTCTCTCCCTGTCTCTCTCCCTGTCTCTCTCTCTGTCTCTCTCTCTGTCTCTCTCTCTGTCTCTCTCTCTCTGTCTCTCTCTCTCTCTGTCTCTCTCTCCCTGTCTCTCTGTCTCTCTCTCTCTCAACGAACGTCCATTCGCCACCTCCTCTCACGTCACTCCACCGCATCTCCACCTCCATCTCCTCCTCCAGCTCGGTGCAGTTGGCTGATAGCTTTCTGCTGCACCCCCCCCTCTCCCCACCCCTCTCACACTTCCCCCTCCCTCTACCCCCCCTGTCCACCCCCTCCCCCGCTCCCTAGTGGCTGGGCTGACGTCCAGGTGAAGGGGCTGACGCTGCCTCGCGCCCTGCAGTGCTGGGAGCAGAACCTCCAGCACGCAGCGTCCCGAAACGGCACCCAGCAGCAGCAGCAGCCTGCTGCGGAACGGTCACCGCCCGCCGTTGGCAGCGGCGTCGCTGGCGAGGGGGGCAGCAGCAGCAGCGGTGGCAGCAGCAGCACCAGCGCCTCGTCCTCCACCCCGGCGGAGCGGTGGGCGGCGGCGGCCCCGGCGGCCCCGGCGCCTTGCGCCTTCCGCGCTGTCGACAGCTGCCCGTGGCCGCACTGCAACCCGAGTTGCCCGGCACTGCGCGACGCGCTCACGGGCCAGGAGGTGAGCGCCATCGCCTTCCTCACCCAGCTGGGCTTCGACGTGCGCAGCATGGCCTCGCAGCTCGGCATGGACCCCGACACGCTGCTCAACGTGCTCAGCGACGGCACATAGGGGCGGGGGTGGGGGTGGGGTGGGGGGGAGTTGCGGGGAGGGGGGGCCGAGGGGGCCGGGGGGAGGGGGCTGCGGCCGTCGACCAGCACGGAGACGCGGAGGGAGCCTTGCGGAGGACTCGGTGGGTTTGGAACGCGGCGTTGGGAGGACGCGAGCCGCTGGGTGGAGCGAAACGTCGGACATCGTGTTGAGCAGCACAGAGCGGTACAACCAGAAAACCACATCGGCGTGCGAATCACCCCCCTGCCCCCCCCCCCCTTTATCCTGCTATCTGAAAAATCGTTCCAGACGTCTGTGTGTTCATCACTCACGAAAAATCACGGATAACGGGACGAATCGTGCGCCTCCAGATAATCCGACCCCCGGGTGGCATCGTAAGAGGGACACGCACGTTGGGCACGTTGAACTTATTTCGCGCCGCACGTCGTAGCCAACCGTGCTAATCGGAGGTGCGGGAAAAAGGGTGACTATAGCTGCTGGTTGACTCTCACGCTGCTGCTGGGTGCACTGCCCCACCCCCCCCTCCCCCGCGAGACCCACCAAATTGATATTGATATTTACCAGAGGTAAGTATATTGAATGTTGTTTTATTAATGTAGCGCCCAGTGGAGGCAGCTTGGAGTTCTAGGACCGCCCTCCTTGGGATCCATCGGAGTGCCGGGGAAGAAGCGGAAAGAGAAGCGTGGGTGAGTGAGTGGGTGAGTGAGTGGGTGGGTGAGTGGGTGGGTTGGTGAGTGCGTTGGTGAGTGGGTTGTTGGTGACCTGCAGTGTGGTGGTGGTGGTGGCGGTTGAGACGACACGGTCCGTGTCTACTAGAGACCGAGTCCTCGACACGGGCGGAGGAATCAAGGAGCGTAGTTCGAAGGAACGGTAACCTTGGTAATAGCTAGCAGTCGCCATGGTTATAGCAGTAACCATGGTGGTAACCATGGCGATTCGATTAAGTAACAGAATCAATAAACTGACAATTCGCCACCTTACCGTGTCCGTCCCCTCCGCGTAAAAAAATATTTGACAAATCCCGTGAGCCACACGGCCTTCTGTGAGTGCATCTCATCAGCAGCATTGGTTCAACGCGAGCAGAAAGCACCGGTTTCGACATTCGGTGTCTCACCAGCAGAGCCGGGCTTGCTTGAACCAGTGCTGGTGAATTGCCACGTGTTTATTGACAACGACTCTCTCTCTCTTCTTGGTTCGATGCAAAGCCATCCAACGCACGATGGTTATTTGTCTTTTTAAATCCTTTATATTAAGTTCGCTTGCTTGCTTAGGACCGTGCAAATCTTTCGGTCGTTTTTTTAATCCACTTCCCGTGATCCAATCGAGCTGACATTTCCACACAGACTCGTTGTGCGTGACAATTAATGTTCGTGAACATTTTTTTAAAATTTTTTTTACACTTTTTAGGACAAAAATATAATATTTACTTACCAATTGCTTAATGGTTGCAATGCAATCATCTGACCCATAGGTGGCAGCCATCTCAAGCCAGAGGACGAGAGGACTCTAGCCGCCACGCATATAAAGGATTAATAGTGAAAAACTTTGTTTTTACGGGTATACTTTTTTTCTGCTCGGTGACATGCTGGGCGAGAAGCGTGGACAACAAATGGGGGTCTACAGACGCAGAGGTTCATCACTGCTGATGACTTGAGGTTCGCCATGCATCGATATAATCAATTTTTACGTAACGATATGCGAACGAGTGCTGATGTTGCATTTAGGTGGATGGAGCAGACGAGGTGGTACAAACGGGAAACCAACGCAAACGCGGTGGTGCAAAAAAATCGATTCTTGAATGGAATCGTGGCACCCCCCGGATGGCTTTTCCCTCCCGAACGTTGTGGATTTTGCTCCGACTTCCCGCAGCATCGGCCCCGATTGCTGCGTCGGCGCGGCCGCAAGCCGAACGGCCGCATCTCGAACACGAAGGGCGACTCGGCCTGCGAGGAGGTTTGGTTCTTGAACGTCGCTGGTCGGCGCGCCGCGAGACGCCTGTGTACGCCGCGCGACAATTGAATTCGTTTGGCCGTGGTCGGGCGGTGCGGGGACTTGACGACACAAATTCGGGGCCGGATAGTTTACGTGGCCCGACCCAAAACCCCCCAACCCTGGACTCCACCGTTGGCTGTGAAGGCCCCTCTGCGGCGTTGGGCTCTACGCGGAGCCTCCGCCACGACCGTGATGACGATCGCTCTTGTCGACCGCGTCTGAACGAGACTTTGATCGCTGTACATTTCACGTGGTGTTGTATAATAAATTCATAATGTACATCCGTTCTCAATCCACTGCTGATTATTGCAATTCTCCCAAACTGTAACTTCACCACGCCAGTCAGCGGGCGGTTGGTGAATGGAGTCGGGTTCAAGGACTCGCTTCGGATGTCGCTCGCCATCGACGTTGGCTGCAGCCGGGAGTTGAACCCGGATCGCTCGCCTGGGTTCAAGGTGCGGAGCGCTCTCCACTGCGCCAGCTCTCCAACCCCACCGTGGTGTTGTTGAGAGGCTTAAATCAAATGGTGCAGCACGTGTTTTTAAACAGTTTTTGTGTTTTATATTCCGTTGGTAACCATTCAAGACGCGTCTGTGGTTTGCAATACTCTATCATTGCTGCAATAAACCGCGTGCTCACCACACCCACGTGGTCACAGCACCACGTGCTCACCCCCACCCACGTGCTCACTCCCCCGCGTGCCCTCACACCCCCGCGTGCCCTCACACCCCCACCCACGTGCTCACCCCCCACCCACGTGCTCAGACCCCCACGTGCTCACACACCACCACCCACGTGTTCACACCCCCACGTGCTCACACCGCCACCCACGTGTTCACACCCCCACGTGCTCTCACACCCCAAACCCACGTGCTCACACCCCCACGTGCTCTGACACCCTCACCCACGTGCTCACACCCTGTGTGCTGGCATCACCACGTGCTCAACGCTCTTGCCGCTCGTGAGAGGCAGCGTGATGGACGCAAAGGCCGATAATGACGATGATGATCAGGAAGGGTGAGAGAGATCGCATCTGGCACGATGTATTCTTCGCTGTGAATGCACACGGCGGTATTAACCAGAGCGGCAGCCTGGAATCGAACCGCGAAAGCCCTGCAAGAGCAAGCGGCGAGCGCAAGCGCCACCGCTCGGCCCCGTCACCAAACCCTACGAGCCCCGGAATCGTCGGTGAACCGAGAAATTCGCCACCGAGACTGAAGCCGATCGACAGCGGGTAGTTTCCCTCTATATCCGTCCACCGATGTTGAGCCGTGAGTGGGAAGATAACTCGGGTCGCGGGTTTAGGAGCGCAGCGCGCGAGGCGCTATGCCACCGCTCCCCCCCAAACCCAACACAAGCTATACACACACATAACCAGCAATGTGCAATGATGAGGGGTGGATGGGCTAAGTGTGAAGAGTGGACGATGCCGTTGCCCAGCTGACCGCTAGAGGGCGCTGTGGTTCTGCCCCGTCCCCCAACCAGTGGCTCTTAAACCTGGGGGTGCGAGACGTGGCCAGATTGAAGGTAATACAATCTAACACACTAATTAAGCACGCGCAGGTAAGTACAACTAATTTGTCCCATAAAGCCGAAGTGTTTGTGTTAACATCATACATTAGGGGCCGTCCATAAATGACGTCACGCACCTAAGGGGGGGGCAGACATTTGTGATGTGTGACGAGGGGGGGGGGGGGGGTGAGAATGTGACGTTACATTGAAATGCGCAACTTTAAATAAATATAGACAACACGTTCTACTTAATTAAATAGACTTTTAAATGTTTTATCCTACAACAGCAGAGTGCAGCGCCACATTAAATACGCACTACAATGACAATAGTTTCAAGCGATTTGAAGAATGTTTTATAATTGGGGGGGGGCAGAGCTTTGTGACGTCATATTTGAGGGGGGGGTCTGACTTTTTGTGACGCCGTGTGACGAGGGGGGGGGGGGGGTCAAAAATCGTCCAAAATCGGGTGACGTCATTTATGGACGGCCCCTTATTTCAACGATTGAAAACCAAAGGGGTGCACGGCTACAGTAAAGGTTACGAACCAACGCTTTAGACCAGGGGTCGGGAACCTTTTTGACTGGGAGAGCCATAAAAGCCAAATATTTCTAAATATATTTCATTGAGAGCCATATAGTATTTTTACGTATAATAAACTAAATATGTCTTACTTTTAATGCGACTTCTGGTGCTGCATGGTTTTGCTGATGACCTTGTAGTCTGGTTTCATACTTGGTGAGGTTGAGCTTCATGCAGGCGTGACCCGTGAAATTTATCTTCAAAACTAATTTCTGTTTACTTTAACATGACACAGTATTATTAAGCAATATCACAAGTATTTTAAAATCCAGTTCCAAACTGATTTTTTTTTTTTCAACTCAAAATTGTCTGGGAGCATATGCCGTCACTGGAAGAGCCATATATGGCTCACGAGCCATAGGTTCCCGACCGCTGCTTTAGACCAACACCTCCAAACCCACAAGCAAGGGGTATTTACCTGCACGCCAGGTGTGCCTGTCTCCCATACAGGTGTGTTGTTACACATGATTGTGAGTCTGTACAGGTGGAGTGTTACCTTTGAGTGCGTATCGTATAGCGATTCGCGCTCTGTGCTACCCCTTCACGACCAGTAACGGTGGCGAATATCTGAACCGATTCTGGGCCTCCACTAGGTCGACTCGGCCTTAATGAGTACCCGATGGGTGGAGGAAGATGAACGGGCGTGGTGTTGTGGCCACCCACGTCCCCGTGTGTTGTGTTCGGCCGTCGTAGGTGCCGCTGCTGCTCGCTAACGGCACTTGCACCACCGCCTTGTGCACCAGCAGCAGCGCCAGGTGGGTAAGAGAACACACGCAGGTTTAAGTCAAGTTTGGGTGATGACAGAATGAATGGCAGCCAGAGCAGCGACAGAAGATATCAGGCCAAAAGCAGAGAAGGGGGCAAAATGCATGCGAATTACTGAGCGATTTGTAACGTCTATAATATGTGCCCAACGTGAATTGACATG